ACCACCGACGCCTGGGTCCTGGAAACGATCAGGCATGGCCTGACCTTAGACTTCTGTTCTCCCCCTCCAAACCGGTTCATCAGATGTCCCATCTCCAGAAGAGTACACAAGACAAGGCTGATAACTTCGGCCATAGCTCACCTCCTGTCAATTCAAGCCATAGAGAAGGTACCAACGGAAGAGGAAGGAAGAGGATTTTATTCTATCCTCTTCGTTATCCCAAAGACATCAGGAGGGTGGAGAGCAATCTTGGACCTGAAGGGCCTGAACTATTTCATAAAGTACAGGAGGTTCAAGATGCACTCCCTAAAGTCCATACTAGCCAGCGTCAGGGAAGACGATCTACTATCCTCAATAGATCTCACAGAGGCGTACCTACACATCCCCATCCACCCCAGCTACCGGAAATTCCTCAGATTTACCTACGCGGGGCGACATTACCAATACAGGGCATTACCCTTCGGACTGTCGTCAGCACCAAGGGTATTCACAAAGATCTTAGCTGTACTAGCGGCCCACCTCAGGTTGATCCCGGTTCGCGTCCAGTTTTATCTGGACGACATCTTGATCCAGTCCAGATCTCGGGAACAAGCAAGGGCAGATCTCAAGACCACAATCCGAACCCTACAGGGGCACGGATTCTCGGTCAATCTAAACAAGAGCCACCTCATTCCCTCAAGGAGACTGCAACACCTGGGCGCGGTGATAGACACGTCACAGTGCAGGGTATTCCTTTCCCAGGAGCGACTGATCAGCATATCCAAGCTAATCCACCAAGTTCAAAGGATCAGGAGAGTGCCCTTGCTACAACTCTCGAAGCTCCTGGGGAAGATGATATCTTGCATGGGCATCATCCCATGGGCAAGGCTCCACTCGAGGGAGTTGCAGTGGTTCCTCCTACCCTACCAGAGGAGGAACCTCAGCACCTCCAACAGGAGTGTGCTGGTACCAGCACAGGTGATGAAATCACTAAAATGGTGGCTATCCCCCACGACACTCAAGGGGAGCATATTCAGGGAACTGAACAGGGTCACACTCACGACAGACGCGAGCCTGTTCGGATGGGGAGCCCACCTGGGAACACAGATAGCACAGGGCCAGTGGGGACAGAAGGACCTGTCACACAGCATCAACTGGCTAGAGCTCCGGGCCATACACCTGGCCCTCCGCCATTTCTCACACCTAGTAACGAGGAGGCACGTCCTCGTACTAACAGACAACGTAGCAGCCAAGGCACATGTAAACAAGGAGGGAGGAACGAGATCAGTGGAACTAATGAAAGAAGCATTGGCTCTGGCTCGGTGGGCAGAAGCCAATGTGAGTTCCATCAGAGCGGAACACATCTCAGGGGAGACAAACACCCAGGCAGACTCCCTGAGCAGAGCCAAGGTGGACCAGTCGGAATGGCGTCTGGACCCGGCTCTCTTCGAGGAGATCTCCCGGAGGTTCGGACAACCGCACCTAGATCTATTTGCCAACCACAAGAACACACAACTCCCCAGGTTCTTCTCCAGATTCCCGTCCCCGGGATCGGAGGGAACGGATGCTCTCAGGTGCCGGTGGCCGGCGCAACTCCTGTACGCCTTCCCACCGCTGCCACTAATACCGGCAACCATACGCAAGATGATCGTGGAGGGCGCAGAAATGGTCTGCATTGCCCCTCACTGGCCACGGCGCCCGTGGTTTGCCGACCTCGTGGACCTTTCGATATCACCTCCGTGGAGGATTCCCCCGGACAGGGTAAAACTCAGTCAGGGCAAGCTCGTACACCCAGACCCCCAGTGGCTACATCTAGCCGCTTGGCATTTGAGCGGCAAAGCTTAACTAAACAATCTTATTCTGCAGGGGTGATATCGATCATACAGGCATCACGAAGAGCGTCCACTAATAGGATTTACGACGCTACATGGAAGGGATTTTGTAGGTGGTGCGCTTCGCTTCACCTAGACCCGACCGCAGTATCTATACCCAATATCCTAGATTACCTATTGGAGGGTCTTAATAAGGGCCTGTCAGTCAATACTATCCGCAGACAGATATCGGCCCTCTCAACTGTACTCTCCTGCGACAACTTAACTTCCCTAGCACAACATCCAGCGATTAATGCCTTTTTAAAAGGGGCATCTAACACAAAGCCCCCAGTCATACACAGGTACCCGTCCTGGAACCTGCCTAAGGTCCTTCTAGCCTTGACATCAGCACCCTTCGAACCTCTTGAAACATGCTCACTCCATCACCTATCACTGAAGGTAGCTTTCCTTGTGGCAATTACTTCAGCAAGGAGAATCTCAGAACTAGCAGCACTGTCAGTAAGGAAGGATCTGTGTACCTTTTTCAAAGACAGGGTCGTTCTTAGACCAGACCCGACCTTCATCCCGAAGGTAAATAGCATCTTTCACAGATCTCAGGAACTTACGCTTCCTGATTTCTGTCCAAGACCCAAACATAGGCTAGAACACAGATGGCACAAGCTAGACGTACGGAGAGCACTGTGTTTCTACGTGAAACGCACCTCGGCTTTCCGAAAGACTGAAGCATTATTTGTGTCCTTTCAGCCATCAACTATGGGAAAGAAGGTATCTTCTTCCACCATAGGCAGGTGGATCAGAGCCTGCATAGCGCAGACCTACGTCTCACAGGATTTGCCAGCACCCATTCAGGTGACTGCCCACTCAACTCGGAGCGCAGCCACATCTGCGGCGTGGCTAACGCAAGCTCCGGTGGAAGAGATTTGCAGGGCCGCAACCTGGTCCTCACCTTCGGTTTTCATTCGACATTACCGTTTAGACTCCCTAGCAGCAGCAGACGCGGCCTTTTGGCAGAAGAGTTCTTCAACAGGTCGTATCTGCTCAGAGTTCGGTAGCCTAGACATTCCCTCCCAGGGGGACATGAGGGCTTTGGTATGTCCCATCCATTTGGACTCTACAGTCATCCTGCTGGAGAAGGGGCGTTGTCTTACCTGAACGCCTTTTCTCAGCAGGATGATGTAGAGTCCAAGCCCACCCAGAGGATAGGTCTAGGCAGGGATATAATGAAGATATAATAAAGAGCTGCAATGTTAATTCCAACAAAGTTTCTCGCCTAAGTCAAAACTGGGGTCACGCCCAAAGGAAGGGGTGTGGCCGAAGTTTTACCCAGTCTGCCAGGCAGGAAGGCCGTCATAGAACCCATCCATTTGGACTCTACATCATCCTGCTGAGAAAAGGCGTTCAGGTAAGACAACGCCCCATCTCTTCCGCCTTTCTTTTCCTTACCCAATCACCTCCTGAATCTCTGTCTCTTCCTATCCCATTTCTTCCCAGCCCCTTTCTCAACTTTATTTACTTTGAGATGATTTGGAAATGAAGTTATTGACGCTTAACTTTGCATTATATGAAGTCAAAAGAAATCCTTGTTATTCTAAAAGTACATATAGAAATGTACAACTAAGCTTGTGAAAAGGCTGTGGAATTTGTGTCCTCTGAACTAAATCTTTTAAATACTTATTAATGTCACTAATATTTACTTATTGTAATCTGAGATATTCCTTTATTTTATAATCTCTGATATTATGTTAATGGAAAGTTGCTAGAAACATTGCTAGGTTTAATGGCCGTCAGGTAATGAAAGAACATACAGATAAGGTGTGTACTGTACCTAATGTCTTCCAACAGTTTCTTTCTCTCACAAGCATCCAGGAGAAACTATAGACTTAATATTCAACCATAAAAGAGCATGGTTGATATAAATTCATTGTTTCTTGCCTTAGCAGCTTTAAGATGTGTGGATATCGCCTCCCAGACTATCCTGAGCTAGCCTGAAACCTGCTTCAGTCTCAAATGCTATTCTAAATCTTAGTTATGAAAAGATACACTGAGAAACAACTTCAATTTTGTTTTGCATTCTCAAAAATTGTAACTCTGGATAGATAGCAGGGATTTTCTTGGCCTGCCCTTTGAAGCATCATAGGGATCGGATATTTATGCATGGTTTTAAGTAGTGAACCAATGTTTGAAAGTTATCTTTTTAGTTTGCTTTCGGCTTAGAATAATATATAAAAACAGGGGAACATAATTTGTTCAAGGCTTTCTAATTTCTTTTTTGTTTTCCTTTGCCATTTTGAGTTTGAACAAAGCTACTTAAAATATTTGTTTAGCAACAACAGGTGTAGAATTCAACAGATAAATTTGACTTGTTTGCAACACTGATTCTGGCTTGTTCAGCCTGATATGGAAATATTGCACTGGAACCAAAAAGTCTGATTGTAATTTATAGTCATGTAAACAGAGATGCACATTAGAGTTGGGCACAACTGGAGAATTTTCTGGTATGACAATTCTAGGATTCTTCTGGGGCATACATAAACCAAGTGAACTAAAGCAGGTGTAGACTGCTTTTAACTCCTGACACATGCAAACCCACAAAGCTCTTTAACTAATTGCTTTAGCTATGCCAACCATTTATTTATGATAGTTTTGAATTATCTCCTTTGTTCATCTCTTTCTTTGTTGGTTGAAAACCAGGCAGATTTAATGAAGTCAGCTGTTGTTGGAGAAAGTGGAAGGTTAATGCATTTGTCAAAAACATCCTTGAAAACTGACTATCAGATGCGGTTGTTACCAATATGACTTCTCCACTTAGGCCCATATTTTGTAATGTGGAAATTGCACATTCAGATTACTTTAGGAAATCATATGTTGCCATCACAGGACATCCAGGCTACTCATGGTCACTCATTAAAATGTAAAGTTTTTTGGACTTCCTTCAAGTTTATAGAGGGGAAAATTCTTTTGATTTCAAATTCACATTTAGGTAGGTGATATTGTGTCCTCGCTCGTAATAAGGAGTCAATCCTTCCCTCTCAGATACTGAAACTGATTGTCAAAATTTTCTAGGTTTTACAGTTCCAAACAATAATTGCCCTTATTGATGATTACAATCATAAACTGTTACTTTGAAACTTTTTAATTTGTTTTCACACACTGCAACTATATATACCTCTCATTTGTTTATCCTTACAGCTTGCTGTGCCTCACAGTGATGAATGGACTCGCTTTGCACGCACTTTGGTAGAGATCCGGGCCAACAGAGCTGACAGTGAAGAAGAAGGCACCATGGAAATAGCTGCTTAGAAGGAAGCCTAGTTCTTCCCTCCTATCTGTTGATGAAATTTTCATTGAGCATTAGTTCAGTACACTGTTGCTAGCAGTGTTTCTGCCAGCATTACTCATCAGATTCTTTCCTACTAATCATGCTGTGCGTAGTAGCCTGGAAGTATTCAAATAATTTCATCTCGTTTCTTCTAGCAAAAGTTATAAATAAGAAAAAAAGAAACACAAGAAGGTTTGTTGCTGCCTAGTTGATTAGTAATTGCAATAAGCAGTTAAAAAACTCCTAGGTAAACTTGGGCTCACAACCTTTTTTGGGGGGGGGGCAGTCCAGGTAAATCTATATGAAGTCAGATTATGATTGGATGCAGATGTGATGTGCTTTGTGACCTAGGACTGGGCCAAAGATTTTAGATGTGGTGTTTCACATGGTGACTTAAATAATGAATGAATTATGTACTGTATCAATACTATATAAATAGGGCTAATCATTACTGGTTGCGGTCTGCATGGAACATATTTATTTGAAAGCAGTAAAGCATGTGTATAATGAATCAACATGCATTGCCTTCCCATGCATGCTGGAATAATCTTGAATTCCAAAATAACAATTACAGGCAATCACTTTGTAATAAAATGGTATTTGTAATAGGCTGAATAAATCAAACTTTAAAAATACTTGTGATTTCCTGGCAGTTAAATATTTCATGTTGGACACAGAAATTTGTTACAAATCAATAGTAACCATCTGAATTGGGCTGCAATTGCTGTTACTACTAAGTCAATGTTGCAAAGTGTGCTGTAGCTATGTGTTACTGTTTTTGTATTAAACTTATCTCTAACAGTAAATGAGAGTATTTGAATAAAGAGGCTTATATAGTTGTAATATGGCTGTTTTTTTGCTTTTCTTCAGAAAAGAAATCAAATTCATTCTTACAGATTCAGATGCTTCCAATGTTCCTCTAATGCCACCCTTAGGAACCAACCTGCATGGACATCATCATCATCATTATTATTATTATTATTATTTTGTAACAAGGCTTGGTGATTAGATGTAGGTTTTTTTCAACATAATGCTGTCATAAATCCTGTGAAAATGTACAGGGTTGGCTCAAGATAACTTGCTGCATGAAAGAACTCCTCCCACCCCAAGTACATTTCATTCTCAGAAACCAATTATTTCAAACTAATGTGACAGAATTCTTTTTTCATCTAAGTTAGAGCAAGTACTAGCTCATATCTTCCAATATGAGGAAACAGAAAATTGTCTTTCGTATTACTTGTAAGCTACCCAGCACATCCATTTTAGCTGAGTAATTGCCTAATAGTTGAGCCATCTCAGAAAAATCAAGCCTTACACTTTTAAAATTGTCTTGATGGTTGTAATCATGTACAGAGTATTTGAATGAACTACACTTGCCTCCTCCTTCAGAGTTTGGCCATAACCTGAACCCACTATGTATCTCATTCTAAAATTGATTTTTTGACCTTGAGACATGTGTTCTGAATCAAGATCTCATCCCTGATCTACTTGGACTGGTATGCAGAAAACATGTTTTCTTTTCAGACCCTTATTTGACACATGCATTTGAAAGGCCTTTCGTCACTATTCATGGATTTTCATGTAGAAGGCATATCCCAGTGGTGGTGAACCTATGGCACGGGTGCCAGAGGCGGCACTCAGAGCCCTCTCTGTGGGCACGCGCATTGTCACCCCAGTCCTAGGCCTTCAGCTGGGTTTTATAAAACCTTTTCGCTTTAGGCCTCTGCCGCCATGTGCAAAAAAAAAAAAGGTTCAATCAGTCAATTTCAACTTCTCGCAGAAAACAAAAGATCTTGCAAAGCTGGAATTGATTAAACTTTCTAGTCCCACCCAGTCTGCCGTTACCACTGCAGCCATGTCCACCCAATTGGCCACGCCCAGCCAATGGGCCACGCCCAGCCAATGGGCCACACCCAGCCTTTGGCCCACACCCACCTGGCACTTGACAATGCATAAGTGGGTTTTGGGTTGCAGTTTGGGCACTCAGTCTCTAAAAGGTTCGTCATCACTGGCATATCCAGTCAATGAAAATACATGTTTGCTCCAAAATTGCAAAGTATCAACTCAGAAAAGAACTTATCAAGTCTTCTGTTGTTGTAATAAAACTTTAAATCAGTATGAACTGCAGCATCAGAACCACACTTTAGGTTATAATTTGAACTTGCAAATGGTTTTATTGAAAGCTTAAAAAAATTAAGAATAAAAAACACTGCAAGTCTCTGTCTAGTGGTAGACCCATTTTGTACAGATACTCTAGAAAAGTAGAATAGGCTGACAGATTTGTCAGTAGCAAATAAGAGCTCAGCTTCCAATAGTTTTTTTTTTTTCATATTAGTTCTGAACAGATGTGGGACCACATGAAGAATTATATTTTATATAATGGAACCCTATAACCTGTTTTAGATATTTTGGTTTCAAGAAAAGACAAATTGTGCTGTGCAAAATCAGCAACTTGCTGTTAAATTTCAGTGGTATAATTCTAAGGATGCGTGAGTTTTAGAAAGTAGCCCTTGAGGCACAGATTTTTCCACCTTATATAGTTCAAATTCCTCATCTGGCCTGCAGAGAAAATATAACAGCACAGTTATGCATATTTGCAACTACTAGGAAAGTACTTGTGAAGTTGGATTTTTCTGTCCATACTTCTCAATTCTTAAAGATTATGTCATCAAATTGTATGGTTCTAATATTCCAAGAAGCATAGACTGAAAATTAAAAATGAGAAATCTGAAGGCATTCAACATTTTCACTTTGGAATCTATTAGAACAGCGGTTCTAAACCTATGGGTCGAATGACGCTTTTACAGGGGTCGCCTAAGACCATCGGATAACATATTTCCGATGGTCTTAGAAACCGAGACATTGCTCCTCTATCCGGCCACTGCCCTCTTCCTCCGGCTCCCCCGCCTCCAGGGTGCCCTTCTCCGACAGCGCCTGCTCCTGCCACCGCAGTGCCATCACGCGTGCCCCCGACGCTGCCCTGGACTGGCTCAGCGGCCGGGCCGGGTCTGGGCCGCTGCTGGCGCTGCCGCTGGGCTGCTCCACCGCTGCTGGCTAAGCTGAGCTGCAGCGCTGAGCCGGTCTCCACGCCTCCTGGTTGCCCGGCTGTGCTCCGCCCCGGCCGCCCTCCATGCTGCGCGGGAGCATCCCCGCCTGGACAGCCTCCCTCGCTGTCAGAGGCTGCCTCGGCCCTCTGGTACCCAGCGCGGCCATGGGGCTGCCAGGCAGGAGCGGCTCCTTCCTGGCTTGCCGGGCTCCGGGCCTTGGAAGTGGCCAGGGAGTGGGGAAGAGGGCGAGCCGGCGGCGATGCCCACATGTGCGTCAGAGGCCAGCCGACCGGGCTGGAAGAGAAGTGGTGCCTTCTGAGCGGGAGCTCACGCTCCGGCCACGCCCCTCTTGCATGCAATGGGCTGCACAGCGTGGAAAGGGGCTCTCGTGACCCCGCTGCTGCAATGGCACTCAGGAGGCTGGAGGGGCGGGCAGGTCCCAGGGGGCTGGGAGAGGGCAGAGGTGCCAGGATGAGGATGGGGGGCTCCAGGTTGGCAGGTGTGAGAGGACCGGCGGCGGCTCCGAGGTGTGCGGATCCTCTGCAAAGCTTCCGAGGCCCCGGATGTGCTGCCACTTGGCTCTCCACCAGGCTCTCCGCCAGAGCCTCCCCCCTCCCCGGGCAATTGTGCAGAGCTGCTTGTGCATCCTTGGCAGCGCCTCCCCCCTTCAATCTCCTTTCTTCTCCATCTCCTTCCTTTCCCCTTCAATCTTCCTTCCTTCTTTCCTTCCTTCCATCTCCAACTCCATCCCTTCCCCTTCCATCTCCCTCTCCTTCCTTCCTTCCTTCCTTCCTTCCTTCCTTCTCCCTTCAATCTCCTTCCTTTCCCTTCAATCTTCCTTCCTTCTCCATCTCCTTCCTTTCCCCTTCAATCTTCCTTCCTTCCTTCCATCTCCATCCCCCTCCCTTGGTGGGTGTGAGAGGGTAGCCGGCAGCTCTGAGGCGCGCGGATCCTCCATGCAGCTTCCGAGGCCCCGGATGTGCCGCTGCTTGGCTCTCCACCAGGTTCTCTGCCAGAGCCTCCCCCCCCCCCAATTGTGTGGAGCTGCTTGTGCGTCCTTGGCAATGCCTCCCCACTTGAATCTCCTTCCTTCTCCATCTCCTTCCTTTCCCCTTCAATCTTCCTTCCTTCCTTCCATCTCCAACTCCATCCCTTCCCCTTCAATCTCCCTCTCCTTCCTTCCTTCCCCCTTCAATCTCCTTCCTCCTCCATCTCCTTCCTTTCCCCTTCAATCTTCCTTCCTTCCTTCTCCATCCCTTGGCGGGTGTGAGAGGGCAGCTGGCGGCTCCGAGGTGCATGGCTCCTCCGCGCAGCTTCCGAGGCCCCGGATATGCCGCCGCTTGGCTCTCCACCAGAGCCTCCCTCCTCCCCAGGCAATTGTGCGGAGCTGCTTGTGCGTCCTTAGTAGCACCTCCCCCCTTCAATCTCTTTCTTCCTTCCCCCTTCAATCTTCCTTCCTTCCTTCCTTCCATCTCCATCCCTTCCCCTTCAATCTCTCTCCTTCCTTCCTTCCTTCCCCCTTCAATCTCCTTCCTTTCCCCTTCAATCTTCCTTCCTTCCTTCCCCTTCCCTCCCTCCCAACATTTTTCAGCAAGGAAGAGTAAGCTTCTCCAGCGAGCATTACTATATTGTTTTTGTGATTAATCACTATGCTTTAATTATGTTCAATTCGGAACAATGAAAATACACCCTGCATATCAGATATTTACATTACGATTCATAACAGTAGCAAAATTACAGTTATGAAGTAGCAACAAAAATAATGTTATGATTGGGGGTCACCACAACATGAGGAATTGTATTAAAGGGTCGCGGCATTAGGAAGGTTGAGAACCACTGTATTAGAAGGAAATTTTAAATTATTTTATAAGAGTTTGGGTACATTTGTGCTGTATGACCATGTAATTTAAAAGTTATACATATCCACTATTTGAAGAGATGAACAACTCCCACACAGAAATAGTTGTTAAGTTAGAATTACAAAAAAGTGTTATTTTAGTATAGCATATAGGTGCGCGCACACACAAACGTACATGTTGAGGATTGTTCTCAATTATTTTTACTCATCCAGAATATATGTGTGTATGACTTCTGGACTGGAGACTACATTCCAAAAAGTAATGACAGAAACAGGATTTAAATTTATATTTAACTTTCTAGATTTAGAATCACAACAACATTACATATTGAAATCTCTTATGACATAAGGCAATGTTGTATCCCCTTTCTACTTCCAATTGAATGCTGTACCAGCTCCAGGATTTCTTTTCCAAATCCCACATAACTTACATAAGGAAATGAGACCATGGACAGAGCTGCAAGCACACAATTCCATGCAAGGAGATCTGAGTGGATCATTTTCGAAGTAACTGAACAGACAAAATATTTGTTTTGGTTGTTATTATTTAAAAATCTTTTAATTCAATAAAACTGATAACTTTCACACAAGTATTTTCTAGTTACAACACAGCAATTAAGGCAAATACCATTAATCCGGTGCTCAAATTCTTTTATTGCATTTATTTAAACAAGCAGCAGTTAATTTTAAGTGCATTACATAAAAAATATTCCAAATATTAGTAGGGGCAAATTCCAGACCTGTTGGCTGTAGCCTCCATTCAAATCAATGCAGCAAAGCATGGAAAATGATTGAGAGCATACAACACTATCTGTTGGTGGCTCTTGTGAAATGTCATTGTGGAGAATAATAGGGCTACATTCTTTCACAATTTTCATAAATTATGGAAATCTACATTTCTTTCCCAGGTTTATCTAGTCATAATTTTGTCAGCAGGA